GGGAATTGAGTTTATGAAGCTTATTTATTTTAGGATGGAAGAGAGTTGGGCATTTTAAGTACTGAGAGCATAGACCCAGATGAAGAGGGAATGATGATAGAGTGAGACTCCCAGGAGGCAGGAGGTGGAAGGATTCTGAGCACAGGAGAAAAGCAGGTCATGTGGAAGCCAAGTTTGTGGGTAGCAGGGCAGGGAAGGGAGGGAGTTCTTACTCATGTTGCTATTTTCTTTATAAAGAAGGAGATAAAAAAGTGATTGCGAAACATAAGGGGTGGTGGGTTAGGGAGTTTTTTGCAAATGGTAAAGAATATTGAAAGAGATATTGTGAAGGATGGAAAAACTGGCCAATTAGGACATCAAGAAGAAGTGCTAGATTTCTTAGAGCACTTAGCTGAATTGTGAAGCTGGAATTTATGGTGGCAGCAGACCACATGGGACTATGGTTTTCCTGTGGAGCTTAGAGCATAGGGCACGAGTAGAGGAGACTTAAAGCTGACTTGATCAGGATTGGGCTTTGGCCAGGGGGTTGCAGGGCAAGGAGAAGGTATTTGAAATGGTGGATCCTGTCGTACAGGCCAGATAGAAGAGGAGGTGAAGATAGAAGAGGGCTCTTAGAGTGGGACCCAACTGGACAAGTCAAGGAATGTGAGATGTTGATGAAGCCAGATGAGTGGTTTAGCTGGGGATAGAGAATGAAAGTAGAACAAGAACAGGAACTCACGATCAGAAGTTAAATGTCTGAACTGGGCTAGTTCTGGCATAAGATGCTGAGATCCAGGATGTTAGCAGTAGGTGTGGAGAGAAGGTGGACTGTGAGGGAGACAGGTACACGCTGAGCCAGGTGTTGGATCTTTGCGGAGGGCGGCGGGGGGGGGTGTGCAGGATCATTTTTAAGGAGAAGAAGAAGGTGGTAGTACAAGAGTGGCCTGTGGTGTAAAAATGAGGTCTTGGGACATATTGGGTCATGGTTGGAAAACTATTGGTTGTGCGTCACTGGGGGAGTTGGAATACACTCGCCCTGCTGCAGGCCGGGGGGTGGGGGGTGGGTGGGACTTGACCTGGGGCAAGAGGGGCAGACCTGGTCCAGTAAAATGGCAGAAGTGGTGTGAGGTTCAGAAGAGGTCAGAGACTTTGTTTACCACAGAACAGACATTTCTGGAAAGCTTGAGAATGGTGTCAAACCGGGTCAGGAGAGATGAAGCATGACATACAGTCACAGGAGGCTCCACGACAGGAAGAGCCTGCATTTGGGTGGGAGCCAGCAATGACCTGGATGTGAGGCACGAGGGCTTCGAGTTTCCCAAAGGAACGTGGCGAGAAAGGACTTTGTTTTGGGTGCTAGCTGACAGATTGTTGGGGAGAAACGTTAAGCGGCAAGCACAGCTAATAAAATTGCAGCGGGAATAGCTAACATGTATAGAGGTTTCTACATGCCAAGCACTGTGCGAAGTGTTTGATGTCGATTTATTTTATGGAATCTGTAGAACCACTCAAGGAGGTAGAAATGATGAGGTCATCATTTAAGTTTTCAAAATGAAGAAAATGGAGTTTAGAATGATGGTGTGAATGGCTCTCGTTCATAATTCCGCTAACTGTTGGAGTTGGAATCTGAATCCAGGTGGCGTGAATGCATGCCTTCTCTGATCTTCGAACTGCCTCCAGGATTTGAAGGGAGGAAGCTTGAGTACTTCCTGGGATCAGACCTGACCTGTCACTGATGGAGGATTCAGGCTGATTTGCTGAATGCACAGATTTTAAATCAGGGGTCATCAGTGATGACTACAGACTTAATTTTTAGAGTTTAACTTATTTTTCATTTTGGTTTCGGTTGCACAGTATTATGAAAAGTTTGCTATACTCAGAGAGGTAGTGGTTAATGGTAACAGGACATTTTAAAAAATACCCAGAGTTTCCTTGTAGGAATAATACTCAAGTAATTGGAAATAACAGGAAAAACTGAATATGAGCAGTCTTTGATATGTTAAAGTTTGGTTCATAACATTTGAAAATCACAGGTTTTTAAATAGTGTGTGCATGTGTAACAGTCTGAAATAGTGTGTGTGGGAGTAATAATCTGAAATTCATCCACTGGAAACTTATTTAATAAGATTATTTTCTCCTGGTTGATATTTAGACCGTTTTCATCCTCTAAACTCCCCTTCCTTTAATATCCTTCCCGGGTAAAGTGCTGTGGAGCACTTGAACCTATTAAACTTACCTTGTAGTCGAAACTTACTGACTTCCCTCGTGAATAGGTAATTGAGTGACTGGACTGGGATGGTTCTCGACCTGCAGAAAATAGTTCCCCCTCTCTCCAGCTACCTTCCTTTTCTTTATATAGTTGTAATTACCATCCTTGTAGCTCCCGTGCTGTAAGGGTTTCCAGAAGCAGTTGATCTTACAATTCGTAAAGGCTAAGAGGAACCTGTTGTCAAATTTTACCTGGAGGCTCAACTTTCTTGTGCACTGTTTCCTAGATTCATTTCTCTGAACTCTGGTTTTTATAGATTTTGATTTGTTTGAGGCAGCAAATTTAAAAACTTTATTTTTTACTTCCCTTCATAGTAGGGGAATTGGGAGAATAATACAACCAAGTTTTTGCTTCCCCTTTGTCAAAACAGAATGATAAAAACCACGATCAAATTGCTGACATCATGCCTGTTCGTGTTGTTACATTCTCGCAACACAGTGTAGTAACAATTACCATCATGATTTTACAAGTCAGAGAACGGTCTTTTTTTTTTCTTAAAGATTTTGTTTATTTATTTGACAGAGAGAGACACAGCAAGAGAGGGAACACAAGCAGGGGGAGTGGGAGAGGGAGAAGCAGGTTCCTGCTGAGCAGAGACCCCAATGCGGGGCTCGACCCCAGGATCCTGGGATCATGACCTGAGCCGAAGGCAGACGCTTAATGACTGAGCCACCCAAGTGCCCCCAGAGAACGGTCTTAAAGCAGTTGAGTAACTGGAACATAAATGGTGGAGATAGGATTTAAACTCCTAGGATGTGCCAGAAAGGCTCTCCAGCATAATTTTATTTTATTTATTGATTTTTAAAAATCTTATTTATTAATTTATTTAGAGAATGAGGGAAAGTGTACAAGTTGGGGGTGGGGCAGAGGGAGACAGAGAGAGAATCCTAAGCAGACTCCAGGCTGAATGCAGAGCCAAGGTGGGGCTGGATCTCATCATGACGTGAACCAAAATCAAGAGTTGGAAGCTTAACTGACCGAGCCACCCAGGCACCCCTCTCTAGCATAATTTTAGATTAGAGTATCAGTTGGAAGTTGGATAAAAGAATATTGGTGGTTTTTCTGCTCTTTTTCTCCATGTTAAAAAAAGAAAAAGGATTTCTTCCTGTATATTATATATAATGTGTTCATGTGTGCACATAGTTCTTTCCATGCTATGGAGATTAGCACAGATTCTTAGGAAAGATGATTAAATTGAGACACTTATGGGGATGCCTGGGTGGCTCAGTCAGTTAAGCATCTGCCTTTGGCTCAGGTCATGATCCCAGGGTCCTGGGATTGAGCCCCATGTGGGGCTTCCTGCTCAGCAGGGAGCCTGCTTCTCCCTGTCCCTCTGCCCCTCCCCCCACTCATGCTCTCTTTCTCAACTAAATAAATAAAAATCTTTAAAAAAATAAATTGAGACACTGTGCTCCACTTTCCAATTATCTGTCAAGGAGCATGTCTGTGCTGAATAGTGGAGAAAGGGTGTGTGTGGCCCCCGCCGGCACGTCCATGTGGTGTTGTTAGGGACTGCCAGGCCTGGCGTGGACTTTAACTGCCGCAGCCTGCACGGGGTCCCCAGTGGGCCATGCCTCCAGCCCTTGTGGCAGCTGGGAGGAATAAAGGGCTTCCTGTTTGAGCCTAGCGCTGCCGTACGTAAAAGGCTTTCTTCAGTCTGGGTTTTTAAAATTTTCTGCTTTCAGTTGTTTGACTCTGCCTGTTTTGACCTCTGACTTCTGTGCTGTATTTACAGTCTCTGAGTAGGACTTGAGACTGAAAAGAGTCTTAAACATGATCTGTCTCTACTTCCTACCTCCTCATTTTATAGATGAGGAAGTTGACTCACAGACATGTAATGAATTATTCAAAGCTCTGGGACTAGTGGCCAGGATTAGAAGCCAATCTCATGACTTTACTGATGTTTTTCCTGTTACAAAATGATTTGTGACTCCCCATGTATTGCTTCCAACTCCTTATTTACTCATCTTGATCCTGGCTTCCCGCCTGGCTCCTTGATCCCTTGGCTTTGCATCCTGCACTGATTTGATGGAACAGTTGTCTGTTGGTGTTAATCCCAGCTTTGGAATCACTGTGTGACCCCTGGTAGAGTCACTTTGTGCCTTAATGTCATTATCAGCAGATTAAGTAGGACCCTTATGTAAATGTAAATCATGCGAACTGGTGATCTGTTTTATTTAGTGGAAGAGACTTTTAGAAAATTTAATGAAAACAAGTAAAGTATAGGGAAGAGTCAGTTAATACAGATTTCATGTTGAGTAAACTATGCAAGGGATCATGAGAAAGTTAAAGAGACTTCACGTCAAATTGTTATGTAATGTAGTAAATTGGGGACTTTCTTTGTTCTTTATACAGAATACCTGTTGGATCAAGTGCTCCTCTGAGGGTAGTAATATAGATTAATTTGTAGGCTTTACTTTTGATCTTGAACTTGGAAAAACATTTGGTTGAGTTGTTTTAACCGATCTGATTAGTAAAGAGGAATCTCATTGAAAATTGGAATTTTCAATGCTGTGACATTTTGGCATAATGAAAAAACTAGATGCTTGGGTTAAATCCTAGTTTTCTATCTATGAACCTCTTTGAAACTCAGGTTCCCTATATGTAAAATGGGAAAAATATACTTAGCTTTCCAGTGAGAATTATGAGGATTAAGTAAAATAATACTTGCGAAGTTCTTGGCACATAGTAGGTTCTCAGTCTGAGCTAGCTTTCTTCCTAATGTTTTAACGCTTTCTATTATATTTAGATATCTGATATCCATGTTACTGGAGAGTCAGAGGATATGTCTGCTAAGGAGAGATTGCTACTATGGACACAGCAGGCAACAGAGGGTTATGCTGGAATACGATGTGAAAATTTCACTACCTGCTGGAGAGATGGAAAACTATTTAATGCCATCATTCATAAATACAGGTATGGAATTGGTGGGGTCTTTTTTCTCAGACAAATATGAGAAGTGTTTCTTCCATTTCCAAATTTCAAAATAACCTTTTATTATTACAGAAGCAATACATGTGCCTGGCAGAAAGTTAGAAAATACAGACCAGACACAAGTAGAAGCATCACATTCCCACCGCTCCAAGATCATCACTCTAAACTTGTGCATACACGCAGACTCACACAGCTATAATATGCCTTTGGATTTTGCTGGTAGCTTGGAGGACAGTAAGCTCTGATAATATAGAATCTTGGATGAGCTCAGTTGTGCATACAGAGGACTGATGAATGGTAGGGTGAGGGTTTAGTTCCAATTTAGAGCTCGCACATGTCCAAATTAGAGTCTCTGAGGCTCCTAACTCTAGTGAGTAGCGGGGTTCAAAAGTGGCCAACTTTGGGGTGGTTAACAGTTTTCTGGTACGAATTATTATTATTTTTTTAAGTTTATTTGTTTTATTTATTCATCTCTCCACCCAGCATGGGGCTTGAACTCACAACCCCAAGATCAAGAGTCGGTGCTCTTCCGACTGAGCCAGCCAGGCACCCCAACTGCTGAGAATTATTAACAGCAAATCCCAGTTAATACTGACAAAGCACTTACTAAGTGCCAGACACTATCCTAAGCAGTTTTTACGTGTATTAACTTATTTAGTCTTCACAACATCCCTACAGGAATATTATCATCCCCAGTTGACATAAAAACTGAGGCACAGAGTAAAACTTGTGTATAGTCACATAGCCAGCAAGAGGCAGCTTTGAGATTCAGACCCCGGGCCTCTGGTTTTTGACTCCATGCTTTTGTTGTCTTATAAGGAGCTAGATCCCCAGAAAATATTTACTGAAAACAATGTATTTCTTGATCTCAGTTACTTTTCTTAGTTTTGCAAAAATTACATCATGTAGTCAAAGAACTGTCTTCCTAGATGGGATAAACTGAAGCTATAACTCATTAGACTAACAAACTTATTTGGTAAAAACAATAATTATATAGAGTAGTTAATATTTTGTTAACTTTCTATACGTGAGGCATTCTGTTCATTGCTTTCCATATGTTATCTCATTCAGGTCTCCCAACAGTCCCACAAAACAGGGACTGTTGTTTATCCCACTTTCACAGAGGAGGAGCCTTGGATTTGCCAAGGTTACGCTACTAATACATTATAGAGCTGGGATTTTAACCCAGGTCTGCATGATTTAAAATCCCATTCTCCCCGTTTCTCTCCTTTCTCTTTATGTTTTTCCTTTCACTACCCTTTTCTCTCCCCTTCTTCTCTTTCTCTCATTTTTATTTTGGAAATTTCAACGACAATAACACTGTAACGAATCTCCCACGCATCCACACTCCAAGCCCCTTTAAAACACTGTAGTAGTCTGCTTCCTTTATGGAACACCATTTCAGTACAGGTAGGTATAGTCTGCCTGATTAAAAAAAAAAAAGCCAGAATCAACTTGCCTACACATGCTGAAAAGAAAATACCAGATCTCCTTGAGTAACACAGTGCGAAGAGGGTTTAGTGGTTACATTTCAGTTATCACAATGCACTTCTCATGTGACTTAAAACATGAAGCCATCAGAAGGCTTTGTAGCTGGGCACATTTTATACCTGGGATGATAAGATCTTCTTGGCCTTTGAATAAAAATATTTGGATTGTTATACCTGAAGGATTTATGTCATGATGCATCTTTGAGGGTGTGCTCTTTTCTCTTTGAAGTGTTTTAAGTAGAAGCAAAGCATTTAGAAGCCAGCTATTCTTCTAAAATAATTGACTTTTAAAAACAATGGTCTCTAGACATTGTCTCTTTAATACTTGTGAAAGAGTAGAAGTACAAATTAGTGGATGCATGCTGTGCATTTTTCTCCTAAGTACTTAAATAAGTCACTGTCAGAGATGGTGAAATTTCCTAGGGAAGTTTAATGTTACAGAGCTCATATTGCTTTAGGAGGGAATTTAGATCTTGTGAATGTTATTTGTTTTGGACTTTTAATTTGGTGGAGTGATCGTTTTAGAAGATTGTTTAGCTTTAACTTTGAATGTTGATTTCCTAGTTGGCTTTGTTTTTCCTTGTTAGAATTCATGGTAAAAATAGGGAGTATCAGGTTTAAGTGCTCACAAGATTTCTTTGTTGCTGAAGGTTGTTAAGTTATCCTGTGCCTCGTAAAATATTACAGTGGCCTTTTTCACTGGAAGAAATCTTTCATGTGTGGAACTGTATTTTTAGCTAAGGTCCTCAGGCTTTTCTTTTTACTTAAAAAACAATCACGTTTTTTTCTTCTAGCATGTGTAAGAATTAAATGGATAGGGTTGAACTACACATAATTTTCACTGTTGAATGCCTTAAAATACTAAAGGGAAATGAGAAAGTTATAAACAGTTGTAAAATCCCTATAAGCAGATTTTTGGATATTGGACAGTAGTAATCACATTTAGAGAGTAGTGTGTAATTTATAGTTGTTTTTACTTGATAATTATTTCCATAAATTTTGTAATGTATTTGGATTTGCCGTAGGAACATATCCACTTAATTGGGTTTTGGGTGTAGTTTTTGGATAAAAAGACCTTTTTTATATGAGTTCAGTGTGACTTATGTAATAAAAATGATCTGAGGTGGTGGCACATGGGTTTGGTTTTTACTCAAATACCAAGTCTAACTGTATGGAATACTCGGTCGATAAGGATCTTAAGAGGGAATGAGGGCTTAGCAGGAAAGAACCTTCAGATTGCTGCTGTGGCTGGAAGGAGGGATGTGGGCTCCTCAGGGAGCAAGTCTGCATGCCCTAGAGAGAATATGAAAGATTTCTCTGGAGATTAGAAGGAAAATGGATACTGTTCGTCATTGAAAAGTAAACCAGTATCATTTGTAGTAAGTGATCTCATCAGATTTTTATGTACATTATCTTCTGACGGTTTAGAAATACTGACCTAAAGTGGGAACAGAGAAATAGCATCTTTCAGATTTTGTATTACTGTAAATATCGTCAAAAGTTAATCAAGTACATTAAGTTGGACTGTCCAGCATATATTTTTATTAGTGCTCCCATATAAGAATATGACTTTTGAAGTGGAGAGAATGTTTGTTTATACCAGTAAGCAATACTTTACTAACATGAAGTAAAAATGAAGAGAAATTTTTATCATAAGACTAATTTATAGATGATCCCTGAAGTTAAAAAGAAAGTAACTGTCACATAGAAGGCCCCCAAGAAATATGTGCAGACTCTTGACCATGTATCGATTTTTGTGTTAGCTGTTTTTATATATGATAGCTTTTAAAATGGTCACTGTCCTATGAAAGAGATGACACTATTTCCATTTTTATTTTTGTATTAAGTGATCAAATTATTAAATAAAGAAACTGGGGCTCAAAAGGGAAACATGACCTACCTTTTAAATGATGGAGGTGACTGCTCTGGAGTCTCAAGTCCTCATAGGCTTCTGTATAAGTACTTATCATAATCCCCTGCAGGCAAACTAGATATCAAGAAATGGAACTGTTGACCTGAGCAACTGGATAGTGCAGTGTTGAAAGCTAATGATATTCAGCAAAGATATATGAAAATTCTTGATGAATTTAAGAAATGACTAAATGAATAGTACATTTATAAATGCCAACTAAAGATCTTTGTCCCTTGTAGGAAATTAATGAGGAACAACATTAATTGCATAACTTGGAATTAGCCATCAACGAAAATAGCATCGCAACAACTCATAATGTAGTGAGGAACATTGTAGATAATAAGAGAACATGAAAACACTTAGCATAAGTAAGAGCAAAACCACGAATGAACTGTTCTATAGTTTTGGTATGTCATATTATCCTAAAGAAGTGAAGAGCCTCGATTGCACAAAGGCTAATAAGAATGATAAAGTAGTATGATTTAGTGGAAGAGATTACGAAGTTCCATAGGATTTTTTCTAGAGAGAGCAAGTGAGCGAGCACATGCAAGTTGAGGGGAGGGGCAGAGAGGGAGAGGGAGAGAGAATCATAAGCAGGCTCCATGCCCGGTGTGGAGCCCAATGCGGGGCTCAATCTCATGACCCTGAGATCATGACCTGAGCTGAAATTGAGTCGGACACCTAACCGACTGAGCCACCCAGGCGTCCCTATAGGATCGTCCCTATAGGATCTATTTAAATAGGTCAGTGATTCAGATTATAACTATGCTTATCGTGAGCACAGTGTGATATATTGTAGAATCACTCTGTTGTACATCTGAAACTAATCTAACATTGTATGTCGACTATCCTTTAATTAAAAATAATAAATAAATCAGTTAATGATACAAACACTATGGTTTTCTATTAATTCTGTCTTAGGAAGCTGTTCCTAATTCCTTCTAGGAATGTCTGTTTGTTATGTTCAGTTTTTAATGGAAAGAATACAAATAATAAAACTGCCATATACCTGTACTAGTTTGAACTTGTTTTCTTTGTGTAGTTTAAGTTTTCTTTAAAGCATATTAAAATCTTTTCACTGCAAACCGCAACTGGTAAGAGATCTCGGGTAAATAAGCCTCACTCTTGCCCCTACCCTTAAGTTTCATTGAAAAGAATAACAAGGAAGACTGGATTTGATGGACTTGGATCAAAAGGATGTCACAAAAGCATTCGATGAGTAAGTAACTTAAAAGCAAGAGAAGTAGAATTAACTGAGAATCCACAGCCACGGGATTCTAAACTCTAGTAGATTAATCACTCTGGGGTAGAGTTTGGATACAGAGGACTAAAATTCCCATCCGTAGCACACGTTCTTCATAGTAGGTGTTCCAAACAGAAGGTTCAACTGATATTTCTGTGTTCTGATTTAAGAGTGTGCCCAAGTATCAAAGTAAAATTGATTTACTTTGAAAGAAATGAAGCTCTGACTTCTAGCTTGAAATCCAACCCCTGACTTGTCTTAATTTATCAGTCACTGCATGTAGACAGCTACCCTAGAACATCGATGAAAGCCAAGTTCCCAAACAGCTGCCCTCACT